TGCGTACGCAAGTTTCTGGGCTCAAATTGTGCGTACGCAAGTTTTATAAATCCGACCCCTGGTCTTTTCTTCACCTGGTGACAGAACTTGGTTCTTCTGGTGACTTTCAGAGAGACGCAACCTGCAGCTGCAGGAGGAGAACCAGAGGAGAGGAGGAGGAGAGCAGGAAACGCCACAGAGATGATGGGGAGGAGCAGACAGGAGGAGCCGCCAAGAGGAAAGGTGGTGAGAAGTTATGAAGATGTTTTTTTTTTTTTAATCCAGTTTCTGTCTTTGAAACCTCTGGAGTCTGCGTCTCCTGCTGAGCTTTGCTCCTTCCTCCTCAGTGCTCTTAGAGGAGATCTGGAGGCTGCAGGAGGAAACCAAAAAGAAGGAGGAGATAATCAACGAGCTGAGGAAGAGGGAGGAGCTGAGGAGAGGCCAGGAGGAGGAGCCAAAGAGACGAGCGGAAAAGCTGAGGAGCCGAGAGGAGGAGGTGATCAGTCGAGAGCAAGAGGCGAGGGGCCGAGAGGAGGAGCTGAGGAGGCTGGGGGAGGAGCTAAACGAACGAGCCAGTAAGCTAAGAGGACAGGAGGAGGAGCTAAAGAGACGAGCGGATAAGCTGAGGAGCCGAGAGCAGGAGGTGATCAGTCGAGAGCAAGAGGCGAGGGGCCGAGAGGAGGAGGTGATCAGTCAAGTGCAAGAGTCGAGGGGCCGAGAGGAGGAGCTGAGGAGGCTGGGGGAGGAGCTAAACGGACGAGCGGATAAGCTAAGAGGCCAGGAGGAGGAGCTAAAGGGACGAGCAGAAAAGCTGAGGGGCACAGAGGAGGAGCTGAGGAGATGGGAGGAGGAGCTGAGGGGACAAGAGGAGAAGATGGAGCAACTGAAGGAGGAGAACATGAAGGAGAACATGCAGAAACTGACAGGTTGGAGCATTCAGCTTCTGTTCTCAAATCTAGCTTTTCTTAAATTCACAACCTTTTCTCCTCCTCCTCTCCTGTCACCTCCTGTAGATCTGCACGATTGTCCAAACTGTGACTCGGTGCTTTCGTCTCTGGAGGTGGAGCAGAAGGAGACGGCCCGGCTGCAGAAGGAGAACAAAGCTTTAGTTAACGGGATTTTCCAGCTGCAGAAGGAGGTGCTGCTCCTCTGTCTCCTCGTCGTTTCCTCCATGGAGGAGTTTGGTTACAGTGTCTCGTTGTTTTACAGGCCACCGATCTGCAAACGGAGCTCAAACTGCAAACTGACAGGTACGACAGCCTATCAGAGCAGCTCAGCAGGTCTAAGTCCCGCCTCCTGGACCTGGAAAACCAATTGGGGGAGAAGAAGACCTCCATGAAGAGTCTGACAGAGGAAGTGGACCGTCTGAAACAGGAAGTCAAGGTTCTGTCTCCTCATTTCTGGGTGAATCCACTGATTTATTTTGATCAGCTACTGATAGGTTGTGGGGTGGTTTCAGAAGGAGGAGGGGCGGAGCCTAAGCAGCAGCAGCGTCTTCCACGCCACCATGGAGGAGCTGAAGAAGGAGAGTCAGGCGGCGCTGCAGAGGTCTGCTCAGAAGTCAGAACAGATCGAGGAGCTGCAGATAGAGAGGAGGCGGCTGGAGGAGTCGCTGGCTAGCAGGTGATCCACACATCCAGCCAATCAGCTGTCAGGAAGTTGTCTCATCCAATCAATCAGCTGTCAGGAAGTTGTCTCACATCCAACCAATCAGCTGTCCGTACCTGTCGCACCTGAACACACCTGAACGACCGTCTGTGTCCTCTCTAAACCTGCAGCCAGAGCAGGTGTGAGGAGCTGAGTCAGGAGTTGGCCAATCAGAAAGCAGAACTCACCCAGCAGCTGCAGAACCTGAGGGCGGAGCTTGAGTCTGAGGGCGGAGCTCTGCGACACAGACTGGAGGAGATGAAGAGAGCAGAGAGGGAGAGGAGGAAGGAGCTGTCAGGTGAGGGGGAGGAGTTAGGTGGTTAGGGTCTGACTCGAACCAGAACTTCCTGGTTTCACCTGACAGGTGTGAGGCTCCTGATTGGCTGATGGATGTTTGTGTTTCAGAACTAAGTGGAATGGTGTCTGAGAAGGAGGAGCTCCTGGAGGAGAGCCGAGAACTCGCAGAGACTCTGAGACAAGGTAACGCTACCTGTCACTCATCGAGTCCCGCCCCCTCACCAACAGGAAATGTTTAGTTTGGTTTTCACAAAAAAAGTCTGAAGTGCAGAAAGTAAAGCTGACGTTTCCTCTCAGAACTGCAGCGTCTGAAGGAGAACCTGCTGAGGAGCGAGGAGAAGGAGAACCGAGGAGTGAAGGCCAGGAGGGGGAGGACACTGCAGGGAAAGGAGGAGGAGCCTAACACACAGGTGAGTTGGTCAACATCCTGTCCAGAGCAGGTGAGCTGCAGCTCGTCTCTGACTCCCTGTCTTTGCTCCACAGGACGTCTGTCCTTCTCCCCTGAGGTCCAACAAGACGCAGAAGAAGAGAGTCCCTAAAAGTCAGAGCAGGAAGAGGAAGAGCAGCGAGGTGGAGGTGTGTCCGGGTCCTGCAGGGGTTGCTGGTTCAAATCTGCAGACTTGATGACTCAGATGTTTGTTGTTGTTTTCAGGGTTTGAGTTTCAGTGAAAACAAGAAGGACAGAGAAAACAGCAGGAGACAGGTGAGTGTCCTCTGTCCCCCATCTGTCCTCTGACGTGGTCCTCTGAGTGTCCTCTGACGTCGTCCTCTGAGTGTCCTCTGACCTCAGAGTGTCCTCTGACGTCATCCTCTGAGTGTCCTGAGTGTCCTCTGTCCCCCATCTATCCTCTGTCCCCCCCATCTGACCTCTGAGTGTCCTCTGACCTCAGTGTCCTCTGATGTCGTCCTCTGAGTGTCCTCTGACCTCTGAGTGTCCTCTGAGTGTCCTGTGTCCTGAGTGTCCTCTGTCCCCCCATCTGACCTCTGAGTGTCTTCTGTCCCCCATCTGACCTCTGAGTGTCCTCTGTCCCCCCCATCTGTCCTCTGAGTGTTGAGTGTCCTCTGACTTTTGAGTGTCAAGTGTCCTCTGTCCTCCGAGTGTCCTCTGACCCTGTCTGTCCTCTGATCCCCCCGTCTGTTTGTCCTCTGACCCTGTCTGTCCTCAGCTGGTGTAAGACCACTTGTCTGCAGGACTTTAAATCTGTCTCTTCTTCAGGACCAGAGAGACAGGTCTCTACAGATGATTGAAGAATTGATCCAGGACTCTCCCTCGGTCCTGAGCAGCGCAGGTGTGTCTCTGAATGATCCAGAGTTCAGATCCAGCAGGAACACCTGGACCAGTCCCACCTGTTTAAAAAGCGTCCAGCAGCAGTCCTCTCTCCTCTGAACTGGACAAACACGTTTCTTCTGTCCCTGCAGCTAAAACCGTCCCTCCTCCGGTCAGAGAGCGTTCCACGATGGAGGAGGCGGTGACCAAACCCCGGAGAGGGCGGAGGAAGCTGTTCAAGATGGACGCCTCGGCCACGCTGCTGGACTCGCCGCACACGGTGAGATGCAGCCGGGCTTCCTGTCTTTGTGAGGACATTTGTGGGAGGAGCTTTAATTTATTTGTATTCTTTTTCCTGTCAGACGTCAGGAGAAGCAGAGGACGACAAGGAGAGCGATCACCTGATCATCAGGAGGCAGCTGCGCTCCAAAACCTGCAGGAAGTGATTTCATCTTTTCAGACGTTGTACAGACTTGAGTTTAATCTGTTTTTATGTTTTCATTTGTTTAATAAAGAATCTAGAACGACACGTCAATCAATTTTAGCTCAGAACCAACCATCAGGTGTGTTCGGTCCAAAACTGCATCAGATGTTGGTTCAGAACCAACAGGCAAACACCTGAAGAGACCCAAACAGGTAATCTGTCCAGTAGGAGGAGGAGCTACTCAGGTGAGGCTCAGCTTCTACTGAGCAGTGTTCACCAGTGTGGTGCATTCAAGGTCTCATCTTCTGAAACAACAAGTGTGGTGCATTCAGGGTCTCATCTTCTGAAACAACCAGTGTGGTGCATTCAGGGTCACATCTGAAACAACCAGTGTGGTGTATTCAGGGTCACATCTGAAACAACCAGTGTGGTGCATTNATTCAGGGTCACATCTGAAACAACCAGTGTGGTGCATTCAGGGTCACATCTGAAACAACCAGTGTGGTGCATTCAGGGTCTCATCTTCTGAAACAACCAGTGTGGTGCATTCAGGGTCACATCTGAAACAACCAGTGTGGTGCATTCAGGGTCTCATCTTCTGAAACAACCAGTGTAGTGCATTCAGGGTCACATCTGAAACAACCAATGTGGTCCGTTCAGGGTTACATCATCTGAATCAGTGTGGTGCGTTCAGGGTCTCATCATCTGAATCAGTGTGGTGCGTTCAGAGTCTCATCATCTGAATCAGCATGGTGAGTTCAGGGTCACATCACCTGAAACAACCAGTGTGGTGCGTTTAGGGTCAACCTACTATCAGCAGAATTTCCTTTCATAAAGACAGCAACTGACTATAAAGTTAGTGTGTAAAACTTTATTTTATTAGTTTCTGTGAAGGTATTTTTACATTAACATGAAACAAAGCTTTTAAAAAAATAATGCAAAATGCCTAAAAACACCTGTTTGGACTTGTGACTGCGTAGAGTCTAGTCACTTGCTGTTGTTTGGTCATGTGACTGAAATGAAGAAAGTCTTTTCTCTTAAAGTCTTTAATCCTGTGAATATTTGATTGGCTGTGAAAATTGTCAATCACAGAGTTCCAGGTGTTTTACTTTATTTTGTGTCCATGAATCTTATTGGCTGTTAATGAAGACTATGATGCAACTTCCTGTCTGCGCATCTCTTCGTGGGAACAGTTTGACCAATCAGGCCGACTGAAGGGGAGGGGCTTGTGCCTGCCATTCAGGCGGCTGCGGCGAATCCCTGTGACGATGGAAATGATGAGCGAGCTGGCCAGCAGGGCGGCACCACTGAAGAGGAAGGTGGCCGTATAACTTCCTGTCACATCAACCAGCCAACCTGTGGGAGGAAAAGACGTTGGCCAGGTATGATCAGGTGATGTCACCGTGATGTCATGAAGAATCATAGATGACGTTTTTTTCTCACCTCCAGCTGGTGGACTGACCAGGTAGGGGATGGCGTGCAAAAAGTAGACAACACCCAACGCCACGGACAGGTACTGCACTCCGACCACGTCTGATGTCACCACGGGGATCAAAGCCACATAGGCGCCGTCAAAGTAACCGTAGAGCACGGCGAACGACACAAGGAGCGGGAAGGAACTGAGTAGTGGCATGAAGAGGCAGCAGAGACCCTCCATCACCAGTGCAACGATGTAACAGGTCAGACGGTGCGGCTTCAAACACCTGAGGGACAGACAGGAAGTTACAAACACCTGAGGTACAGACAGGAAGTTACGAACACCTGAGGGACAGACAGGAAGTTACGAACACCTGAGGGACAGACAGGAAGTTACGAACACCTGAGGGACAGACAGGAAGTTACGAACACCTGAGGGACA